ACTAATTTACTATGAGCACACCAATAACTAAAAATTTACTACTACTATTCACAATTTATAAATTTCATCCAAATTAATTGCCTATATATACTAGTCAGACTCGTGTTTTGTTTGTGATCACACATCTCCATTTCATTGCATGGATGGTAATTTAGCTATATATCCTTCCATAAAATAACCCAGAGCTAATAGAGCGTTGTACGTGCCTTAACCGATCGAGCAGCCAGCATTTGAAGCATGTAAATTAATGAATTAGAGGAAATTAGGAATACATATATACGTGATCAGGGTGGTCAATAGTTGGGCTAGCCAGCTCTATACCGAAGAGGCAGTAGTACTCTTATAATTGATTATTAATAAATAATTAGTTGAATGTTATCAACAAATTAATATCAGTTGGTTGTTAAATAATCTTCAATTGTACTTATGGATGATGGAAAATCGGCATCTCTATATCACATAGCATGACCTGATCACACACTATTTTGTGGTTAATGTTTTGTTTCGTAATCTGAATACTTTTCTTCATTAAATTTGATATTTTTTAACCATGCATATATATGACTCTACAATAGGTAGGCCTTATAGCACAATTAAGCTGATCAGTTTCTTCTATATTAGGCTCTGATCCTAGCCGGTTTTAGCTGAGGATGGCGGGATTGAGTAATTAATAATGTTGTTAATATAAATATAGTTACTATAGACTGTCTAACCGTTATTCAATTGTACGTAATTTAGCCTTCTCATAATTAACTATATGTTGGTTCAATGGCAAAAAAACTAACTTGTGAGTGTGTACAAAAAACCCGTGTAGGTGTTGCATGCCCGCATGGAATATATATATATATGCTGCGAAATTTCCATGGTAATATTGTTAGAGAGATGAGAAGAACAAAGTGCGTGACTAATTTATCAACCAATTATTCTACTAGTTGGATAGTTAGTACGTACGGAGAAATTGCTTCTCATCATAACTACTTTTTCACATTAATTTTTCCCTGGCCTTTTCTTGTACTGATCAATTTTATTCAGTTATCAAATCATCAACCAATTATTCAGCCAAACTTTGTAGTGTCAACAGACAACACATATTACATATATATGTACTTAGCAGAGAGATAAAGGCGGCCGATATCCCATTTTACTTTTGCGTTTATATTCCTATTGGAGTTAATTTTTTTCAGCCAAACTGCAGTGTAAACACATATATGTAATTATCACTTTTTTTTTTTTAATATTTTAGGTTTGCATTTGACGTTTGGAGATGCTTT